GTATATCAGTTGACGACTGAGACTTCGTTTTTCGAAATAACTTCCGTTGTAATAGTAGTAAGTGGAATTCCATTCGCTTGGCAATCCGTAATTCGTCTCGAAATAAAACGACATCGATACAGATTTGTCGGTAATGTCTACGGGAATACTCGAGGCAAAGAATATCTATAAAAAATGATAGAGAATGACAAATTATTTGTTCTGAAGATATGTTTTGCTGATTTTTTTCGACAGAATCGAATTATCACATTTTTAAATTTTATTTTATAATATCTCAACGCAAATATATTTCTTGATATCGAACATAAGTACTTACCTCATCGTTTTAACGTGCAACCGGCCGCCGAGGTTCGCTTGAAGTTTTTTAAGAAAATAAAATAAAATTTATAAACCAGAGCAGCAAATGATGATGTAAAAGGAGATGATATTTGACCACACTCCACGAATTCTGATGTTGCTCGCTAAAATAAGATTCTTTTCTTGACCATCACATCTTTTCTGGTATATCACATTTATGTTGTACGAAAAGTTGCAATGGTTTTCTTATTTTTTTCACAACTCAACAGTTGCACAACGGTTGAGAGATAATCACTTCTGATTGGATCATACTTTTGGAACCGCATTAGATTTTGAAAAATAGTCCTATCATAAGTGATAATCTTTTAAACGTTGAGTTGTCTGAACGCACCCAATAGCTGCGTTCAGCAGAACAGCTGCTTTGTAGCAATCGAATGTGAGTGGTTTTTACTTTAAATCCAACTAATCACAATAAATTGCTAAATAGCCGCTTAGTGAACGGTTGTGTTTCTGGATGCAGCCAATCAAAGGCCAAAAGTATATCGTCAGTTTGGCGGTAAATGTTACTCACTCGAAACAAACTTCATATTGTATCGTGGAATTATTTCATTTTCTTACATTGCTGAATGTAAAGTTTTAAAAAAGTAATCATGGTTTCTATAGTAAAAGTATTTACTATTAACACACCACAAAAACACGATCTTTGCTGCGCAATTTGCAACATTATTAATTCCGAAAACGATACATTGATTTATTCGGAATTTTGTTTAAACAAGCTCAAGTGTCGGTAACTATACAAACATAATTATAAAAATCCATTGTTTTATAGAAAGAGATCATTAATAATACATATGTAAAACGCAATTCAAATAAAATAAAATAATATTAAAATAAATTTGTAAAATAAAATAAGTAATATACACAATACATTATTTTATTTCAATTACATATTGAAATAATTACTTTTAGACAATTTATTCGAGAAATGCCTCAGGCAATGGCTGCTCCAATAACAAGTCATCAAAAAATTCGTGAAACTGGCGGTATCATGTACATTATCGTAGAAAAAGAGATATTTGAAGACTCCAATTTTCAAAATTATTGCAATATGCGAAATATACAAGTGGTATAGAATATATTTCACACACACACATATCCCATAACACACGATATCTCACAAGAATATTTCATAGACATTTAATAAATAATATCCTGAGAATATTCAATAGGATATTCCATCCATGCTGTTGGAGATTAAACAAATTGGTATATTTTGAAAACACAAAGCTCTAATATTTGTTTATCATGTAAAACTTGTATAGATGGATTTGCTAAACCCGATTCCAACTTATATTTATAAAATGTGTCTTCTTTACACTTTGGAGTGCAAACTAACATCACAGTGGAATAAAGTTGGATCGTATCTTGTCAAAGGACAAAATTTTCTTAGCTCCACAGAAAATGTTAACGCAATAAAAATGAATATAAAGGAAATCTATGGTATAATTGTTTTACAATGGTTTTATAATGATTGTATAATTGTTTTACAATTGTTTTATACTGGTTGTACTTTAACAACATTAAACTGCGTTAAGAAAAATAATATTATTTTACAATCTTCAATGACAAACAATAGATAATAAATATAAAAATGTTGTAGATGATAAATCTCGGCTTTATTTAGAAGCTGTAAATCTTAAAATACCATTTATAAAACATGAGTCAGCACAGTTGTTAAAATATGGTGATTTACATCCGCCGGTACATGTTTTGCCAAGGTAAATTATCATGACTACGTGAAATTGTTACTCTCGAAAATTTATATCAGTCAGTTAATCATGTAAATAAATACTTATTTATAGTATGAGAATGGCAAACGTATTGTGCGTATCAAAAAACCTTCAAGAAAATCATCCGTTTAAAAATTACAAAGAACTACGCGAATATTGGACAAATGTAGTACGAATTTATTATCTACAGTTAATATCATAAAAAATTAATATCACATTTTGTAACGTATAATCACATAGTTAACACTCTTTTATAAAACTTTCTAATAGAATTAACTTTTCTGTTATAAAAAACTTGTGATAAATTAATTTTCGTAATTTTAAATTATTTCATAAAATAATTATTTGTTTTATTTTAGCATGGCTATACATTGCCTGAATATGAAGAAGGATTATTATTTTATGATGTCAAATTTTTTTATTTCAAGCAAATATTTGTATATCCTGCGACATGCTTAACTTCAGGACCTTTAAAAGTTCTTCCGTTTGCAACGGATCCAGTGCCTCTAATTTACAACTTCGTAACAGATCTAAAAAGAAATGTAGTTAAACTATGCGGGTCGCATTTCGACATATTTCCAGAAGTGAGAAAACGTCTTATTTACATATAATTCTGTGTATACATATTTTTTTTCTCTCTCTCTTCTCTTTTAAGTAAATTATTAAAAAGTATATTATTAGAAATATTTTAAGTTTTTATGATAAAAAGAATACTTTATACACTTTTTTGATGCATAACATTTACTTGACAGGATCAGATTAATAAAACAATTAATTATACACCAATACCAACGTTACCAAGATCTAACAAAATGCTAACCGCTGACACAGGATATGGCACAAATTCGAGAAAAACGAGCAATGTAACGCCTCTAATGTTTAGTACGTGCGATATTCCCACGAAACAGCCACGATTATCGTTAGTGAAGTCTTCGCTTATATGTGAAGCCGAAATTGATGATTTTGACTTTAATAACAGTCCAATGTGCAAATTTATACCGAGAAAAATTACTGATCAAATTTCGACAGTATTACGCGACGCAGATAACACTGTACTTAGCAAATCAGATGTACAAAACACTGAAACCAAATCATGTTACTTTAATCAAGAGAAACAAGAAAACGAAAACAAATCTGTGGTAAATATGTAACAATTTTTCATATAATTTGCATGTGCATAGAAATACGACGATTATATATGTATAAATATACATACAATAATATTTATGTAAAAATTAATATTATGTTAAAGGAGGTGACAAACATAAAACACACACAAGAAAAGAAATCCGATAAATTAAGTTTGAGAGAAAAGCTGTTAAAGAATTTTTAAAAATTATTAATATACACGTACATATATGTATATCAGTAGGTAATGGTTTTTGTTTCTTAACGTAACAATTATTCATATCTTATAAGTTGCTCTTTATTGGTAATACAAAAATACTTTTTTGTCCAATAAAATTAAATAATTAATTTAATTTTTTGACGCAAGAAAAAACTAAAACAGATCATTATCCCATACTATTAAAACTATTACGTACAGAGAATGAGAGAAATGAGTCCAGCTTTGCAGTGAGGAAAAAAATTAACGGAAATAAAAAAAAAAAAAAAACTCATACAATATATGTGTGCAAATAGAATTATTTAATTATTTGAGTAAATAAATAAACAGTAGTTATAAATTATAAAACTCGAAATAGTGCTAAAAAGATATAAATACGTATATAATAGAGAAATTGTATTCAATATAATTTAGAGTTAAACATAATTAAATATTAATATACTTTACGACGTTTACATTCTTCTATTACTTCTAATAAAGCGCGTCTGTCTCCTTCGTATTCAATACCAATTTCTATCAAATCTTGATCCGTAAGTGCTAGAAATAGATCGATATCCACCTATGGAGTAAAATAAGAAAAGAGAAAAGTAAAAATAAAAAAAAAAGTAATAAAAAAGTAATTGAAAACAATAATTATAATTTATAACAGTAAAGAAATATGATACACACTCATAAAAGAAAAGAACTATGATAATTTTTGGCAACTTCGAACACATTGTGCAAATAATACTTACTTCTTGTTCGAGAAATATAGGAATATGTTGGCTCAATCCAAAGCATCTAAGTATCATGATCATTTTAGTCTGTTGCCAGTTTAAGAGCATTCCTTTTGGTGGTGTTTTGCATCGCGGTGGTGTCGGTGTGCTATCGCCAAATACGCTTTCCTCATTGACATCAGGAGGCACGTGAGGCGATTTGAGAGGACTGAATTCGGGTGTGAACCCAAGTGTGATATTATTTGGATCATCGTGCGATGATAAAGTCTTGCTGTCGTAATCCGTGGATCGTGCCGATTGTGATCTAGGCGCACAAAATATTTGACAAAAATATATCATACTTAAGAAATATTCAATTGATACTCGAAACGTGGATTAAACAATTGTTTAAATTTTATTTACTGTTAATTAATTCACCTCTTTACATTGATCGGAAGTAATTTAAGTTTATACTCGTCCGTCGCAAGACACTTCTGCGAATCACTTTCCGAAGTTTCTTTGCTTAAATTTTTATCTTGAAAAAATATATTCGCTTTCTTTGTGAGATCAATATCCGTAAAACAAACAATATCCGGAGATGGCACGGTGTGATATGTCAAATTCGGTGATATTAAACCTTTGTTGGACTCGTTAGGCATGGATAATAAGTTCAGATTTAGATCTCGCTTTTTATGCTTTTCAATTTTGAAAATTGGATCTTCAGTCTTGTCAACGACGTCTTGATCGCTCATCACTTGGATATTATCCGATATATCGTTCCAATAATCGTCCATAGATAAATGTCCCTCCACTAGAGCGCTTATTTCCTGTTCCGTTGAAAGCCTCATCATGATGCGAGTGTACTCATCTGCATTCAGTACGTGGATTTACAATCACATTATTTTGCTAAAAATGTTCAAATATTTTAAGCACCAAAATAATCATCTCACTAGTAATTCCAAGTGGTATCCCTAAATCCATCAATTGAAAAAACAACTTTTTGTCATTCTTCATAGCAGCCACACATAATGGAGTAATATCGTCGCTACCTGCGTTTGCTAACGCGTCCGGACAAGCGTTATACACTATTTCAAACATTTCCTTGCTAATCGCAGCAGCTAATCCAAGGACAGACATACCTGTGTACGTGAAAAACAAAATGTTGACATTTCCTTTACATACACACACATAACTTTATTTAACCGCATGTGATTTGCTTTATTTACCAAGATAAGTCACTTCGTCAACACTGGCCTTCTTCTCTAAGAGTAATTTCACACTTTCGATATTCCCATTACGAATTGCTTGCATTAGCGGAGTCCAACCGAATTTATTTTTTCTGTCAATGACACGGCAGTTTTCTTGTCGACTCAAGATTTCATTTATGATCCTAGAGCAACCGTTCGCTGCGCTTATATGCAGCAAATTCTCGTCATAATTATTTACGGCGTTTAAACTATATCCTTCCAACAGACCAGTTAGTTGTTGGGATTATTTTGGGAAAAAATATGTTGCATATTTTCAATTTTCAAAAGATACGTGCGCGATATTTAACACTGAGCAACAAGTTATTACACGTATTTATATAAATACACACTCTAACTATAAATTAAGTTTTAGTTTAAATTAAGTCGGATCGAACTAATCCTTATGAAAAACCAAACGAGTTTGTTGTATTAAATATGCGGTTATACACTTTGAAAGTTAATTTTTATATAAAACAAATAAATTATATAAAACACAACTTTGTATAATTACTTACCGTGTTCCCGCATCGCCGCGATTACTTCTTCTTCTACAGCTTCTTTATTATTGTGTGATTCTGTTCTTGACATTGTTTCAATTTATAGAAACGCACCGAAATGTTCTTATTATATGTAAATTATATGTAAATTAATATAACACACACACTCTATGCAAAAAATATGTATGCAATATTAATACATTACGTATGCGCTTTTATTTTCTCACATATTCAAGGTTTTTTCTAACATGTTTATTTACGATATATTTATATATTATTTCTTTATGTGTATTTTATAAAAACTTTCCGTTACGCATTTTAATAAATTCTTCTATACTTGCAAATTGAGAAAACAGTTCTAATTCCGTTCACTTTTCGTATAACACTGTTGATTATTTTGAATATTGTTGCTTCAAACATGCGACCTTCAGCATGTTTTTCTTTTCTTCTTCGTGTAACTGTAGTTAACTGTCAAAAACGCGTTTTCATGTTTAATTTAACAATATATGATAATACTAAAATAAGATCTAACAACATAATATTAGAAAAAGATAATACACAACTAAAACTATTAAAACTATCAAAATTTGCAAAATTACAGAAAACATATATGATTCTAGATATTGATTCATGTTTGAACACGCAGAGTAACATACCAGAGAAAGTCCAAATTTACAATAGAGTTTCGCAACAGTCAAGTAACTCACATAATTCAAGGGGTAAGTAATCTCGTCAAGTTCTCTTTTTGCACTATTATCAGAGAAAAGTCTGAAAGCGATTAGGGGTATATCCTGCTTAAAGCCTGTTCTACATTGATCGCAAGCGCAAACGCAAGGAACAGGTCTGGTAGAATTGACTAAACGTATTGATCAAATCAGCCAATTGACCAGCTTGATTGGTCAATTTTACAAGATCTATACCTTGCGTTTGCGCTTGTGATTAATGTAGAATAGGCTTAACACTACCGTTTCGGCTCGGCGCGTCGTTTAAAATACTTTACCAATATTGTGTATATATAATACCAAAAATATTAAAATCTGACTTTTCTTTCAGACTTTCTAACTTTCTGATAAAATAAATCCCTTCAAGTGTAAAACAAAAAAAATAGAAATATACCAATATTCGCACCTAATATTAAGTTTTTGACAATTATACATATTGTTCGAAAATTGTTTGTGATTTGCTTTAAATAATACTTTATTTCACATTTTGTGAGATACGTTCTTTAATTTCTTGTATATACACATAAGATATATTACACATATCTGGATGCAATTGCTAGTAGTTTGGTATAATCTGCTCCTTTACTATGAGTTTTCTCTTTCAATATTGTTCTGAGTATATGTGGGATGGGCACTTGTATTCTTGTACCTAAAGGTGTCCCATTGTCATCTATGAGCACTAAATTGTTGCTGTCGAACTTAGGAACTTTAGGATTCTGAGGCTTTTTCAATCCAACTAATATGCCCTTTTTCTTCTCACCTTTTATTGCAACTAAAACTTTGTCACCTAAACAATTATAATATCACATTTGAGAGAGATAATTTCTATACAAAAAGGAAATAGTTTTTTTTTTTTTGCATAAAACTTTTAACTTATCTTACCTATCATGCCAACTCCTCTTTTATTATAGACATGTATGCACTTCGGTGGTTTACCTTCCATCATAGCTTTTTTTCCAATTTCACTGTTATCCACCACTCTTAATCGAGACATTTTTATTATCTGATTCATAGAGCTTGATGTAGAAATGTTTCTTGTAATATTAAATATTGTGGGATGTGACAACATATTGTTGCAATTATTTCTTACACTTTGTCTCTTCAGGATAATCTGAAACATTTCACGAATACACATAACCTTGTGTTTTGATCTAGTGAGTGCAACCGTAACAATCAATTTAGACAGGGTAATGAGAATTATTTATAATTACTCTACCAAGAAAGATTTATCAAGATTCTAAATAACTACTGCAAAATCAAAAGTTTCTTGTCACATTTTCACACATGATACAATACCAGCAGGAATTTTTTCTTTTACTTTAAGGCGTCGTTTACAATAAGAATTTAAGACTTAAGCTTTAAGAAGGTATAAGCAGAGAAAAGCCTGAGAGCGGCCAGGTCCATAAGAGAATGTGTAATCACTTTTCCGCCCCGTAAACTAGCGCATGTCCACGGGTGGTATACATTGGAACTACGCAGCCAGTCCACGAACGACATGTCGGTGCGCTATGTCCACAGCGTGCGGTTCTATTCTGTGCTATGTGCACGAGTTTAAATGGTCACTTTAAAAAAAGAGACCGATTGTGAGAATGGTTACTAACGTCGCAATGTATATGTTATATACGTAAGATTTTATTGAATTGAAATAATTAAAGGCTGAATTGTTACGTGCACATATTTTTTAAGTGCACATGTTTAAAGTGTATCGACAGCCAAGAAAAAATTCCCGGTAGTAACACAAATACGTAATTTGTTTGTGTTATATATTTTGCAGGTGATAAAATGTATAGCTTTTCTATCTATAATTTGCTTTAAGTTTATAATTAGAATAATTTGTAAAAGATATTTGTTTTGGTTTTTGTATATTAAGTTGTGTGTCATTTGTGGTATATTTGAAGTTATACTTGCAAAAGTTTAATCATTAATAGTAACATTTTATAGACACAAGGATATTTAATAAACATAAAATAACTATATATGTAATATATATTTATCAAAAAGATATATAAAGTTTATGTATTTGTATATAAACTTCTGTTATAAATTCATACAGTATGTGTGCCCAGGACTCTCAAACAACTTAAAATAATGGAAACATTTTCAATATTATGTAATAATAACAGAATAATAAAATCCTTGGTGCTGGAAACCACATTGCAAACTCAATCTAATTTATTGTTACTTTTTCTATTGTTTCTCAATATACAAAATATGATAATTACTTATACATTTTACTGTTACACATGTATAATTTATAAGTTATATCGCTAATACATATAATTACGCATATATAATTTATAAGTTATATCGCATATATAATTATGCATATATAATTTATAAATTTATATGCATCAAAATTGATTACTTACATTATCATAACTGTTTATTTTTACGTGTACGTTGTATATACACATACATCTATTAATCCTTAATAATAAATAGTATGTTTTATATACATACGTATATTTATAATAAATTTATAAATTATTGTTTAAAGATTGACAAATTATTGAAANAATGTAAGAGAATTAAGCAAGAGAGAGAGAAATAGCAAGAGAATTGAGCGAGTAAGGTGAGTTGCGCGTCCTCTGAAAGCCTCGAAAAATCGCTGAAAGTATTAGGAACACATGTTGTGCGAAGAGGTAATGCGAGAGGTATCTGTGGGCGAGGCTACGCGTCCCCCCAACACCTNCTGCGCTCCGTGAGTCGCGCGGTGATTGGCTGAGGCGCGAGCGCTCCATAATGGCCGACGCGCGTGCTCCGTAATGGCTGCCGCGCGCGGGGTGGGGTCAAGCGTGCTATGTACACGCCCAGGAGCTGGCGCGTATACCTACTCGCAAGACATACTTCCCTGGTACCTTCGCTCGATTTCAGCTCGTTTTCAGCGTTTACATAGTTTCCAACGAC